CAAGTCCGGAAAGGGATGACCACCTAAATTCTTTTAGGTGGAGTTTAATATTGTTCAGGAGCAACTCTACCCAAATCGCAGACCTGTCAAAGACTTAAAAAAAACACATGTTTGATTTGCTTCCTTACATTCCACCGCACTACCACGAATTTTATAAAAATTTGCCAGTAACACACAAGGCTAATCCTCGACCTTCAACTTCAATGATCGACCAACTTGAGTCTAATAACGACATTGAAGATTTTGATAATTATATAAACTAACAATTTTGTTTAAACGTTGTTTTATTTTTTAGTTCAGTGGACACTTAGCATAAGTCATTTTTTCCTTGTTTAAACGCATTAAAAAAACGCTTTTCATTTTTATTAAATTTTCTTATACAAATTTAAGATTATTAGTATGTTACATTTCAATAAAAATTATTATTAGTACTTATATGGGAGTCGTTATATTATTACAACAAGTTTTGAAACAAGTTAATTTTCTTAGATTTTATATTTAGTGACTTAACCTGATTGGTTAACGAGTTAATTGGAGTGACTTAACGAATTACCGATGAAGCTATATCTTCAATGAGATTGTTTTCTACTGATGAAATGCTCAATTCTCTCTTAGTGGAAACTAACAGAGAACGTGGTTTTATATGTAATGAAAAATTGTTAACTGTAAACGAAATTTACTGGAAGAGTTAGAAGCTTTCATAGATAAATACTTTCAATTCAGTTATAAAATAAATTAACTTGAAATTTTGCATTTTTATTCAAGGTTTACTTCTTCTGGCTAGTGTTCATAAAGGTGCCGGAGAATATCTGCAGGAACTTTGGAGCAATTCTGATATTAGGCCCATTTTTAGAGTTTCTATATCTCTGAAACAATTTTTTAACATCAGCGGCTTTTTGCAATTTGATAATAAAGAGGATAGACCTATTCGACAGAGGCAAGACAAGTTAGCTCCAATTAGAAGTTTTTTTGACTTATTTGTAGTGCAACTTCTCAAAATGTTTGTTTTATATGAAAGCCTCACTGTCGACAAACAACTTGTACCATTTAGAGTCAAGTTTCCCTTCAGACAGTATATTCCAACAAAACCACGTGGGAAATATGGAATTAAATTATGTCTTTTATTTGATATCAAAACTGCGTATGTATATTGTGCAGAAGTGTATACATAAAAAGGAGAAAATCAGCCCCATCACGTACATCAGGACAGACGTGTGGTTTTACGACTTATAAAAGATGTTTAGAATTCAAGGCGAAACATAACCACCGATAATTGTTTTACTGACTTCCATTTAGCGACTGAATTATTAAAACGTAAACTAACACTAATTGGAACATTCCGAAAAAACAAAACTTTTGTTCCAATTGAATTTCTACCAAATATAATTAAAGAAGCCCTATCATAAATTTTTGGCTTTCAGAAGAATATGACTTTAGTTTTAAATAGTGATAAAAATGGTAAATCTGTTATTATTTTGTCCTCGATGCATTAAGATGACAGGTGTCATTGCAAGAATATACGAAACCAGACATTATTTTAGAACACAATAGAACCAAAGGAGGTGTAGGTACAACAGATAAATAAGCTTCAGCTTATACCTGCAAAAGAGGAACTAGAAGGTGGCCACTTTGCTTATTTTATGATATTTTAGATTTGGCGGTAATTAATGCGTATGTGTTATATATGCATGTAAATCCTCAATATAATAGGAACAAACTACATAAAAGAAGGCTTTCTATAAAACAATTGGCATATAATTTAACAGAAAAATGCCGAACTACCCAAATGAAAACAAACGTTCTACAAAAAATCCAAATAAATTTACATGCAGTAGCTGGAATAAGTGAAAATGCAAATTAAAGTCCAAGACGTGGAAGGTGTAAAGCCTGTGGATGCGAAAAAGACAAAAAATCTCGTACAAGATGTCAATTGTCATCATCATCAGTAGCTCGACAACCCTTTCTGGGTCCTGGCTTGTTCTAGGATTTTTCACCATTCTGTTCTGTTCTTTGCTTTGTTTTTCCAGTTGGTAATTTTAAGTGTTTTCAAATCTTGTTCCACTTGTTCCATGTATCTAAGTTTGGGTCTTTCCTTTGACCTTCTCCCTACTGGTGTTTGCCTCATTATATGTTTTGGCGTTTGCAAAGTTATATCTTCTGCGCCATATGTCATTTTCCTTTACCCCCTACTATATGTGTCTAAGTGTGTCTATGTGTCTCTATGTGTCTATATTAAATTCACTAATCCTTTCCAAGATTTACCTCAAGACGAAGATCTGATCTATTGTGGACTTCTGCCTGCGGAAACCACATTGATATTCCCAACTATTTGTTCCGCATATGGTCTCAATCGGTCATACACAATATTTATTTAACAGTATTTTTATATGCCACAGTCAGTAGCGTTATTGCCCAGTAGTTTTTGCATTGAAGCTAATCTCCCTTTTTATGTAGTGGGATAATTACTCTGGTATTCCAGTTTTGTGGCAGTTGTTTATTATTCCATATGTTCACTATTAGTTTGTGTATCGTATTCAATAGGGAGTCTTCACCTTCCTTTATTAATTTTGCGCCAATGTTGTCTAATCCAGTGACTTGTTGTTTTTCAGTCTGGTAACTGCTTCTTGCATTTTAGCTATTGAAGGGGGGTTGTTTCTCTGGTATCCGTTTGATCCAGTATAATTCCATCATATAGTTGATCCTAGTTTTTTTCAAACTTTCCTTTGAAGAATTCTGTCCATCTTTGTAGTATTTCACTCTGTTGAGTTACTATATCTATCTTCTTCTTTGTCTCTACACTTCATTGTTCTTAGTTTAAATTCTTTTCTATATTTGTTTTTGATAGAATTTTCTGTTTTATAATGGTTTATTTAGTTCTTTCATTTCTTGGAGTTTTTTTTCTATGTGTTCTCTTTTCTTTCTGCGATGTATTTTCTTCCCTTCCCTCCTAAGCATTATATATTCCTCCTCTGCCTTTCGTGTTCTATGTCGTTGTTGTAGTCGTTAATATGTATTATTTTTTCTATTTGTTATGTTACGACACTCTTCATCGAATCACTGTCCTTCAGTTAATATGGGCTTTTTTGTAGGCTCAGGGTCTCTTTTGCCGCGTCTTGTATGATGTTTTTACACGCTTCTCATTCTCTGTTTATAACCTCGTACTTTTGTCTATTTTCTAGCCTTCCTTTTATATATTCTTTGTATTTTGTTTTTTATCTCATATTTTTCAATTTTGGATCCCTTTTATTTTTTAATGTTTGAGATTCTGGCTCTTATTCTACTTTACACTAGGTATCTGCATTTGTCCCTCTTCTGCTGCATACGCGTATTACATCTGAGTGATGTCTAGAGTCAATAGTAACATGATTGATCATGTTTACTGTGACCCCATCGGGAGATCTCCACGTTCCCCTATGAATATTTTTTCGCTGGAAGCATGTGCTGGCAATGACCATGTTAAGGGAAGTTGCTAGATTTATTAGTCTGATGCCATTGTCATTGGATACCTGAAAAAGTCTGTGCTTACCTATAGTTGGTAGGTATGTTGCTCTTTTTCTATTTTTGCGTTGAGATCACCATAAATAATTTTGATGTTATTCTTTGGGCATGAATGGTATGCAGCTTCTAGTTCTTCATAGAATTTTTCTTTGACATCGTCTTGCTTTTCCTCTGTAGGGGCAAGCACATTTAAGATGCTATAAATAAAAAATGTTTTCCTTAGTCTCAGGATGCACATTCTAGAGTTCATAGCACGACAGTCTCTTACGAGGTGTTTAACCTTTTTATTTACAATAAAGCCAGTACCTAGTGTCTTTAGCGTAGTAACTGTAGAATATATTGTGGTGTCTTTTTTCAATGGTGGCACTCCCAGTCCATCTCATTTCCTGCAGAGCTGTTATATCTATGTCATATATATTCAGTTCACCGAGCAGATTTTGGAGGGCTCCCGATCTGTATAGGGATCGCGCAGTCGTCGTCGTTTGATCAGTCCGATTTTCTTTTCTTGAACATTCGAAACATGTGTGTTTTCTAGGATAGGGTTGTTAGCCCTATGCCTAACCCCCTTTTCAAAAGACCATTTCTCCATCTCTCGTCGTTCCTGACCCAACTTTCCACTGGGGTTGGTTACCCAATCTCTGGTAGGGTTGTTCAAGGTTGTCAGGGTCCACCCGTGTGATTAAGTCACACTTCTTGGAGGTGAGGATAAGAATTGAGTAAGAGTGGCTAGAAGTGTTATCGTTATCGTCTATTTCTCTCTGTTAAGAGAGACCCCGTTTTAGGCTCCTGCCTCTTCGGGGAAGGGGTTTTATTTTTATTTTTGGTAACGTCTTTTACCGCTAATGTCTGGATTGGAATTAGTTTTTAAGGTTGAGAATCGGCATTTTCAATTGTCGTTGTCAGTTAAGCGTATGCATCTTACTTCCTTGCTTTGACTGCTGTTCATGCTACTTGTCGTTAGCTTTTAATTCTCGAGCGCGCTTACAGTCAATCTTAAAACCAGTGTATTGTACTGTAATTTTGTTGTCTGAGCGCGCCCGGGGCAAGCGTAGATTTTCAGATTTACAGCTGTCGCCGGTGGTTGGTGTCGATGCGCTATTATCATTCAAATATCTTTTGTAAAAGTTGCATTGAATAAATATATAATTTTAATTTATTATAAAGTTTTATATTTTTATTACAAAAAAAAAATGTTTTTAGTTTTGATACATCGATAACATGAAACTACAAAAGCTTCTACTTCTAAGGGAAGAGGCTGAAGGTGCAACGTCGCATTTACACCTTTTTATTTGACAGAATTTTCAGAATTTAACAAATTTGAGTAATCAGTTTTTCGTAATTTTAAAATTGTGTAAAAATTTATTTGTCACCATTGTAAAAACACGATTTTTCTTCTTTATATATAAGTTATTTATATTTAGTGAATTTTCTAACAGAGTTTTATATTCAATAATATTCTGTTATATACGTCTTAAATTTATTTATAATTTTATTTGAATTAGGTTACTGGATGAGAAGGGCAACTATATAAATTCGCAATGTGAACGCTTGAAAAGCGGGTTAAAAAAAATTGAAGAAGCCACTGTGGAACTGGATGTATTAAACAAGCAATTAGCCAAACAAAAAATTCGCGTTGCCCAAGCCACAACAGAATGTGAAGCTATGTTGACAGAAATAAACGCAAGTAAGATATCATTAATACTTTAATCTTAACCCCATTCACACATTTGTAACATAGAATCTCCTAATAAAATTACATCGTTCCTGGAAAAATCTTTCTAATAGTTTATATTTTAATAATATTTTTTTTATTTCTTTTTTTTTTTTTTTTTTTTCTTGGCTTGGACAATTATCATTCAGCCAGTCTCCATCAACATAAGTTTTTTTTAAAGAATTTAAATATGTCAATTAGTGAAACATGATTAATATAATAATAATAACAGCTAAGCTAATGTAAATACTATGTTAATAAATACTATATCATACCTTTATTATAATTTAGTTATTGAGAGACGACATTAGAAATTCATAGTGTATACATCTTACAAATAAAAAAAAATAAAAATAAAGATATCTACCTACTATGTTAATAACTATAACTATGGTAATACATTTTTTTCACTATGGTAAGACATAAACCCAATTCAACATCTCGAAGGTTTATATCCTCTTAGTGATTGTTTTAGTATATTTTTATTTATTTTTTTTTTCTTATTTTCTTCTTTTTTTTAATGTATTTTTATAATCTTTTTTTTTTATTAATTTTTTTTTCTTTTTAAATCTATTTTTTTAAGTATTTTTTTATATTCTTTTTATTTTATTTTTTTTGAACTTTTGTTTAATTATTTTTTTTTAATATTTTGTTCATGAATTTTTTCTAAACATAGGTTACAAATCTTACTAATTACAGGTATACTTTACTATCAGACAAAAGGTTATCAAGTAGTTATACATTTTCTTCTCATTGAGTGATAGTAGAAAGAGAATATTAACAGGAAGAGGGATGTTCTTGTCTATCATTCTTTTAATTAGGTTGTTGGTGGGTTGTTTATACTTTTGACATTCAAAAAATATGTGGTTTAAGTCATTTTTAATCTGACATTCTTGACAAATATCCGAATCTAATATATTTATTTTAAATAAATGTACAGGATAACATACATGGCCAAATCTAAGTCTACTGATGGTAGTTATGTATTTGCGAGGGAGGACGAAATTCTTATACCAAGGTTGTTTTTCAATAATTGGTTGTATCAAACTGTATTGTGTTGTTGAAATACTACAGTACTTTTTCCAGTGTTCTCTCCAGTTGTTCATTTGTTTAGTTCTTGAAAAAGCAAAAGCATCTATAATGCAAGGTTGATAGTTGGTAAGTATTCCATAAACGATGGAATTTTTTGCTAACTGGTCTACGTGTTCATTATATGTAAGTCCTGAATGTGCTTTGATCCACATCAATTATATTTTTTGGGTGTATATATTAATTTCAAATAAGCAGTTTTTAATTAAAAAAAAATGTATGGATTAGAAGTACTACAGGGTAGTTGAGGTTTTTGAATAGCTGTAAGTACAGATAATGAATCAGATAAAATTACTGCTGAACTATACGATGCCAATTTAAAATAATTTAAAGCCTCATATATGGCCACAGCCTCAGCACTAAAAATAGAGAAATTTGTGGGCAGCTTAAAAATTTTTCCTATAAATTTATCTTGAATATAAAAGGCACAACCAGTACCCTTTGAACTTTTAGATGCGTCTGTATAAATACAAACAGATTTTGGGCAATTTGTCAGATAGTTGTTTAAAACAATACGACTTATTAAAGAGTTCTCATGATAAATAGGTTGTATTATATGTACTTGATCCAGTAACTTAAAGAAATCTTTAAAATGTACTACTTTGTTTGCAACTATAAGTTCAGTATATTTATTTGTAGTATTTCGAAATGCTTCGCATAGCGGTGGAGAATTCTCGTGAGTCCAATATTTATTTACAAAAAGAGAAATAGTACGATTTCTACCTGGCGAAATCGAATTCAAATATAAGCCACCGTGCTTCCTAAAACTTGCGAAGCAAACAGTTTGATGAATAAATCGGCAAGGGAATCTAAAATTGCACTCCAAATGCCGTTCATAAAATATTTTGGTTCGATACGGAGTAGTTGCTATACCGTACTGAGGAGACCTAAAGATGTCGAAATACGTATATGCGGCTTGTAGCTGCTCTGTATCGAATCAAAATCTAATACCGTCATTGTGTTTTATTTCTTTACTTCGTTTGGAGTACCAGAAATCGAATTTACTACGAATATTGGCCATGATGAACGGCATTTGGAATGCAATTTTAGATTCCCTTGCCGATTTATTCATCAAGATTTTTGCTTCGCAAGTTTTAGGAAGCACGGTGGCTTATATTTGAATTCAATTTTGCCAGGTAGAAATAGTATGATTTCTCTTTTTGTTCTTAGATGGCGTGGTTACGTCTGTACATAGTTATTTTTAATAACTATGGTCTACGACGGGAAAATATTTTGGTTAGATACGGAGTAGTTGCTATACCGTACTGAGGAGACCTAAAGATGTCGAAATACGTGTATGCGGCTTGTAGCTGCTCTGTATCGAATCAAAATCTAATACCGTCATTTTACAATATTTATTTATTAAGTCGAAATAATTTAAAATACTTATATCTTTATATAAACAAGTGTTGTTTGTCGCTCTTTGTGATTTAGGGATCAATATAAAGGTAGAAGAAAGCCAATCCGTTGGAATGTATTTGGTGTTATATATGGCATTGAAAATTGTTACTAGCATGTCGATGTTATCATCTTCCAACAGTTTTATGGCTTTGCCTAGTTTTGCTACTTTTATAGCGTACTCCACTTCGGTGTGAATAATGGGAGGGCCGGCTAAATTTTCCGTGGTCAAGTTAGTAGTTGGCAGATTCGGTCTATTATCAGCAAAGAGGGATGAAGCATAGTCTGCCCAGATTTTAGCTAGTTCTTCCTGGGTATGAACGTAATTTCCTTGATCATTCTTCCGGCGAGTCTCATGTTATTTCTTGTATATAATCGCCATCTTTACCCATCGCCGTCTTTACCCTCATGTAATTCAATAAGACGCGAGAGAGGCCACTTACACGAAACCTAATTATCCTCCTTTAAAACAACTAAGGCACCGATTTTAGGTACAAAGTCAGGATCTAACCATTTGCACTTTTGTTGCAAGGTGTGCAAATATTCCTTTTGCCATCGATCCCAAAAATCTCTATGGATGCGTTGTAACAACTGCCATTTAGACAAACGATTGAAGGATACCTCCGAAAAATCAGGCACAGACAAAGAGGTCAAGGGTTCAAGAGTCAGAAAATGTCCTGGAGTCAAAGCATTAAGATCTTTAATATCATTGGTTAATGGGGTAAGCGGGCGTGAGTTTAAGACGGATTCAATTAAAGTTAAAACGGTATAAAATCCTTCGTAGGTCAAAATTTGTGCCCCTACTATACCAACAATATGTTCCTTTACCGTACGAATTCCGCGTTCATAAATACCGCCAAAATATGGAGCAGCAGGAGGGGCAAGTGAAAACTTGCCTAATATTTTCTTTATCAAGAGCGCTTTGCATAAAGCTACTAAGCTGTCGACAAACACTATAAAAAGTAGTGCCATTATCACAAAATACTTGCGACACTCTACCTCTCCGAGCGATAAAACGTTGTAAAGCGGCCATAAAGCTTTCGCGGTCAAATCACTAGCTAATTTAAGATGTAAAGCCTTTGTAGCGCTACATACAAATAAACACAAATAGGCCTTTTGAGTTCTAACTCCTCTGTAACGAGACATGGTTATCAAAAACGGTCCACCGTAATCTAACCCATAAACCGAAACAGATTTAATGGCACCGAGACGAAATTTAGGCAAAAAACCCATAGGGGGTTGTAAGTTTTTAGGAGTTTGTTTTCAACATCTAATACATTTGAACAATATTAAATTTACGGCTTGTTTAGAAAATATTATCCAAAATCTTTGAATAACCAAAAATTGAGTACTCTAAAATCCAGCATGTAAATTCTTCTCATGAAAATGACGAACTAGAAGAGTAGTAAGACGAGATTTTTTTTGGTAACAAAAACGGGTGTTTTGCTTCATACGATAATCAAGACTGAGATACACCACCACCTACTCTTAAACACTGAGTAATATTATCTTAGAATACTCCCAACTTACGAAATGGTTTTGGAAAAGAGTTTGATTGAAAACGTTCTTCAAAATACTTTTCCTGTGTAAATTTGACAAGAATAATCAACGAGTCTTTCAATTCTACAAAAGTCAAGAGTCCCGACTGTTTGGACCTTTTATAACGAGAGTTGTACGCGAATCGCAACATAAAAGCCAAAATTATTTGGATCGAGGTAAAAGACGAGTGATTTTTCAACAAAAACGACAAAAAATGTTCCTTACGAGTAGAAACAAATACTAAAGCTTTCCAAATCCAAAAAGGATTTTTTCTGCAATGAGGGAGGAACCTCTGGAAAAATTAATGGAATATTATGCAAAAACGAAGAACCTGTTAACCAGTCTAATTTTAATAAAAAAGCGGCCGATAGCATGCTTCGCGAAGGCGCGTTGGCTGCAATATTTCGAGATACGATATATTACCAAGAATAATTTGGACTATGGCACTCGATATACGAAATGCGATTTGCGACGAAAGTTTTGAATCTCGAGGGTAAACTTTTAATCCAGTGCAATACGATTTAAGAATTTAACCAAGCATACACATTTTGAAATATTATATGTTTTCACGACTGTAACACAACGACATAGTACCAAATGAATAGTAGCTAACCATTCTAACCGAGGCATAGTAATCTGTTTTATAGGAGCTACTTTCGATTTGGCACACAGTAAATTAACTTATACTAGGTTATGAGTATCAATACTACGAATATAAGCTGAAGCTATTTTCTTATGGTATTTTAAAGTAATTACTATTTAAATAGGAATTAGCTACAATTAAAGGTTAACGTAGGTTTATTAACGTTTTTTTTACGATTTCCGAAGTGGAAATTGAAACGTCAGTAAACGTACTTTAACCTTTAATTGTGGCTTATTTCCATTTAAATAGTAATTACGAATATAAACTATACAAGCATATCCCTTTTCACCAGCATCGACATTTTCATGAAGCTCTAAGATGGGACATAAGGAAATATTCAAAAAACAAGAAATTTTGAACTGTGAAATAAGAGATAATAATAAAATAATAAGAAATAATAATATATTGCTCCCATATACAAATTTTTTCTGCTGGACGGCGATCATCCCACTTAAGACCGGTTGCCCAAATTTGTTGGACTAAATGTTTAATAAAAAAGGTAATAGGTGTTAAGTAATCACAAAGATCATAAATTCGAGCTAATTCGGACAAAAACGATCTTTTGGTACAAGGGACGTCTTGCAATTTTACTGAAAATTGAAACAAGTCGGACTGTTCAATCCACTTCAAACCAAGGATTTTTAATGAAGGACCATTTGCTTCGGGCTCAAATTAATAAAATGAGCATTAATATGGGATTCAGGAAATTGCGACAACAATTTGGGTTGATTCGAACACCATTTCTGCAATTCAAAGCCTCCTATCTTTAAGAAAGCGACTAATTCATCAACTAAAATTTGTGCTGTTCTGAAGCTAGTTTCTTGCGTCATTTTAAATTAATTACTATTAAACTGGGAATAAGCCATAATTAAAGGTTAAAATACGTTTATTGACGTTTTAATTTCCACTTCGGAAATCGTTCTCAAAACACAAACAGTAAATTAAACAAATTTTGTTTTTTTGTTACTTAGTAAAAAATTCTTCTAGTAATTTAATTTTATCTGACTCATTTATATTGACAATTTAGACATACATTATGCATTTTAAAGTAGACGACTTTAAAATGATATTGTAAATATTGTTGAGTTGCGGTCCTGGGACGACATAACTTATAAGATAGTTCATTCGATTACATGAAATCAAACTTGAGAATATCCGCCAGAAAATATTAATTTTACGCCCCTTACTATCAATTGCATGAACCAAAATGGTACCGAGCAAGATTTCCTTTTTTGTTTCGTTTTTCTTTCCTACAAGAATTTTTCACTAAGTAACAAAAAAACAAAATTTGTTTAATTTACTGTTTGTATTTTGAGAACGATTTCCGAAGTAGAAATTGACACGTCAATAAACGTACTTTAGCCTTTAATTGTGGCTTATTTCTACTTAAATAGTAATTAAAATTTGTGCTTCTTCGAGAGTCGAAGCACCAAAAACAAAATCATCAATATACGAAGTATAACGAATAAGCGAGATGGCTTAAGGAATACGAGAGCCTTCGTCCAACACTAATTGTTGAAGGGTTCTTAACTACTACCGATCTAAACAGTTCTGGAGTTTCATATTGTGGTTAAAATATTTCGGCACTAAGGAGTTTTATTTTATAAAATGGTTCCAAAAATAATTCCCGAACATTTTCTTCAACCCTCGTATCCGCGTCTGGTACAGAAAGAATATTACCATTAATATTTATGTGATGTTTTAAGAATTCTTCACGACTTGAATCTAATTATTCTACTCTAATTTTAAATAAAGGTTGGATCTATACATCGGAAAGCGTTTTAAAACCCAAATCGAAAATTACCTGAATGTAATTTTAAGCTTTTAAAGCTTTAAAGATTTTTCTATTTCTTAAAAATTTGAGTTTTTTATTTTTGTCTTCAAGTTTTTCGTCTTAAATCTCTAACAAATTCCAATAATATTATACTCACGAAAATGTACAAGAATATGTTTTAAAACCCCGAAATCAACGATTTTAAATTTGATACTTTATTGAAACGACTATAATCCCTTTTTAAAAGCCCCCATAACTATCCACTTTAAAAGCTCACAAATTATTCTCAAGCCTCGAATTTAATATTTTTTGATAAGAGACGCAAATAAATTAACTCGGTTTCTTAGGAACCCCCAAACGATAAAAATCAAATGAGTTTAAATCCGGCTAGATAGGCCAATGTGGCGAATTAAATAAACAATGAACTATTCTTCTTCTTCATGTACCATGTCCTTTCAGAACGTTGGTTACCATCATAGCTATTTTAATTTTATTCACTGCCACCCTAAATAGCATGCTTGTATCTACACCATACCAATCTCGCAAGTTCTTCAGTTCTTCAACCATGAGGTTCTTTTTCGTCCTGGACTGCGTTTGCCTGCTATTTTTCCTTGCATGATATTTTGTAGCAATCTATATTTGGGACCTCTCATTACATGTCCAAAATATTTGAATGAACTATTACGAGAATTAATAGTAATTAAATTAACACCAACTATGTATATTTCCTTCAATAGCCCTGGCTGTATATTTCCTTCAATGGCCCTCTCAAGATAAATGAGCTTTCTACGTTTCACAAGCACAAACTTTCCTATATATATATATATATATATATATATATATATATATATATATATAATATATATATATATATATATATATATATATATATATATATATATATATATATATATATATATATATATATATATAATATATATATATATATATATATATATGTATATAGTATATAATATGCATTATTCTTCATTTATAGATACACAAGAAGCTACCGGTAAGAAAAACGTCGCCTCACTCAAAAGTCAGGAGATTGAAGAACAAGCTAAAATAATCGCAACAGAACAAGTTGAGGCTGAAGAAGCGTTAGCCGAAGCTCTTCCTGCATTAGAAATAGCTAGACTAGCACTATCAGACTTAGATAAATCTGATATAACTGAGATTAGATCATTTGCAACACCACCCGAGCCCGTTCAAACAATTTGCGAATGTGTTTTGATACTTCGAGGTAAGAGATGCTTAAAGTTGCTTTGTTTAAAGGAGTTAATTATTTCTATTTACATTTCTATATACTACATTAACTATTGTAGTGAAATGGAGATTTGGATAAACTGTAGTACATTTTTTGTATTTTTATTTAATGATTTCATTAAAAGAAAAATTGACAGTGCAATTTACAGGGCAAATTTAAACTTTGCCAATAAAACTTTCTGTAAAAAAGTTTGACATTGTACCTAGCAATGAAGTTTTCAAAGTGTCCAATATCATAAAATAAAGTTTTTTAAAGTGTCCTGTGATAATGTTATTGTTATTCATTCCTTAAACTAATGTTTGTCAAAAAAAGTGTAACTCCACTTAACATGGTGATATGTTTGTTTTTTGCGAGGATTATTTTAAATACCATTTAAATTTAATGATCGTAATCTTAAATTTGTAGGTTAAATCTTTACTTATATATTATAATGTAACTCTTCATAAACTTTTTAGCTATCACTGATGATGGTATAAAGCGTAGGTACCGAAATATATTTGATTACTAAAAACAGTACTCTTGCAACTTATTCTAAATTATAATTATTTATATTTTCTAATGAATACATTTATTTTACTTAATGAGAAAAAGGGGTAGTACTTAACAATATCTTAAAATAAAAGTATTTAAAACATTTTTGCTGGTCTAACATAACAGTTTCCACTGTTATCTGCTATTGACCTCATCCCGATTCTAAAAAGTAAAATAGTATATGTGGAATATTCCCAATATATTCGTTTTAAAATTACAAAAACCTTTTTTGTACAACAGAAAGGTGATTATATTTAATAACCACTTTTCTTTCCTGTACTGACTTGAGGCGTGTAGATGCAAAACCGGACATGTCACAGTTAAATTGTAGCGTTTTATATTTATTATCTATATACTAGTATAAATTCTGTTTTAAGTTTTGTATTCAGTTGTTTCAAAATATAGATGTTTTTGTCTCTGTTACATTGTCGGTTGTAGAACCGACAGGGTTCTACAAGGTAGAAAATTATTCCGGTTAAAACTAGGAAACTAGGACGTTAGAATAATCAATGAATGCGTATTATTTTTACCCAATTTAAAAGTAAATATTTTAAGATGTTTTTGTCGTTGAAAACGATTTGTTTACATACGAGTCTCCTAATATTTCGGTTGAAAAAAAATGTCTTGTTGTCGGTTCGTTGTTACGAACGAGGGTCGAGAGGTATTATTGTTTGTTTAGGTTCCGGAGACGCGAGGGGAAATTATTTGGCGTTGAATTTGTAAAATCTAACGCAGAAGGAGTGAAGCAAAAGATTTGAAACTAGAAAGACGTTTGGCGGATTTTGAATCCACAGCTAATTCTTTGTGTGTAATGTCTCAAGACTGGTCAAGGTAATTAATACTCTTTGCATAATTGCATTTTAGAACAGAGTAATCATTATAAGATTTGTGTAAGGGACCGGAAACTAATGGCATTTTGAAAATCATTATATAGGGTGTCTTCACCAGCTTTCGTTTTCTTTGTCAGCTTGCTCCGCCATCAAACCTGATTTACGTTTTTTGATCGTTCGTTCCTGAGTATGGAAATGGTTTTCTTGTTCCTGTTAGAGAATATGTCCAGATAGATATCCCAGATATTTAGCAAGTTTTTCAAATTTAAGTGCAAAGTTTGTGAATTAAGGTAACAATTAATATATTAATTTTTTCAAGTTATATAAACATTTTTAATAATTGCTTTCATTAAAATAAAAGAATTTGTAATAATTAAAGTTTTATATTATGTTAGAGGCGTGGCTAAAAAAAATTATTCTGTCTTACAATGTTATGTTGACATATGATATTTTGGCTTAAATCTGCTGTTGTTGTAAAACAATTTAATTTTGATTATTATATAAAAAAGATATTTCATATATAAGGTTAAATTTTACGATATTTTCATAAACAAGGACATCCTTAATCATAATATTCTATTTTGGCCATATTAATAAATAACCTAGGAACCATTTCGAAAATTTTTGTAGCAATCTTATTTGTAAACAGATAAGCACGTAAGTTTTTGTTAATTTTGTATTATGTTATATAGTATGCTTCTTGAGCAATCTGTACTTTTGATAACTGTTTGTTTGAGACAAAAATAAACGTTTAATGTGTTTCTCTGATCCATTTTTGTTTTAATTTAGAAAAGTCTCCTAACCTTTGATAGTATGTATTCTTGATTTTAGGGAAGAAGAAATTTTCTTTTCTTTCAGCAGGAAGTTTTTCTCGAAGCGGCGTCCCAATAAAGAAAATAGCTGGAGGTAATTCTTATCTGCCATATTCTTTTGTTTTTGATCCAGGAGACTTATGTAAATATCCCTTTGTTTTCATTTTGTAGATACCCCAATCCGACCCATTTATTTCAACTTATCCACGACTCAGCTCTCCAACAACCCCCTGAGTGTCGTACGCATCAGTTTCGATTATTTTGTTATTAAGGTTACTTGCGTTTGAGTTTGCAACAAAAATTTGGATATGTCCTGCTTTGAAACTTATATGACCAAGTGATGGGAAAATTAATAATGAGATTTTTTTAGTTTGCCGGTTTATTCTTTTAAAAAGACAAAATGAACAAGACGTTTTCTTGTTAAAAATTAACAATTTTTGTATTAAACATGGAATATTATTTTTCTTCTAAATATTGGCATGGTGGATTGTTATCATCATTATCGTTATGTTCAGTAGTGTGTTGGTCTTGACTACTATGGAGAATGTTTTTGCAAAAATTACATTCAGGCATAGATGACCAATCATTACCACCAAAATGGCAGCCTAATAATGTCTTGATATCCTACTTCTTTTAAAATTCAGTGGAACACCAGTTTGCAGTTCTACTGGAGTAATTTGGGATATTTTTTTTTTCATTTTTTTAGTAATAGGCAATGCATTTGACGCAGACGAATAATAATTTATTTCTCGCATTGCAAGGATACTGTTTTTGGATGTACGGTTTAATATAAGGCGTTTTATTTGGGAAATCGTGAAATGTAATGAACTGGTGCTTTAATGAATGCATTATCTTCTTTTTTTCAAAACTGGATAATCCAGTCGTTTTTTAACAAAAACAATGTTGCCTTCTCCTCAAAAACTGCATAATATGTATCAGAAGTTATTAGGGTGTCTATTTGTCTCAATTCTTTCTCACTGATACCAAATACTTGGTCAGGAGGTATATAAGAATGGCCTGTTACCGGAAATATGACCTGAAGTTCAGTTACCTTTTAGGGAGTTTCCTGGAGCCATTTTGCACATATAGTTAATATAGTACAGTTTTTGTTTTATCCAGGACATCCATCGGATACTAGACGTACAGTATGAAAGTCAGTCATAGCAGGCTGATTCCTTTTCAGACAATTATATACTGCTGACTCAATTTCATTTGATTCTTTGTAAGGTTCACATTCTATCCAAGAGTAGGCATATACATTATTTTTGTTTAAGTTTTCTTTTGAAAAACCTTTAACAACGGTAAAATTATATAGATAAAGTTGACGACGATAGTACGCCTTTTTGGTCAGGTACTTTGGGCAGCACCAAATTCTTTTCACACTCGTATGAAAAAATCATTAATTTGTCAGTCTTCTCTTTTAAATGGTCAAAAAAAAGCTTTAGCGCGTCTTGAATGAAGTTCTTGTTTAATCTGCAATGCTTTCTTTTTCTCTTCTTCTTTGGGTGCCGTCTTCAATGAAGGTTGGCGATAACCTCAGCAAAATCATTTCTGTCTCTGGCTTTTCTTATTAAAGATTGAGAATCCAAACCAGTCCACTCACGAATGTTCTTCAACCAGGACGCCTGCCGTCTACCAGGACCACGTTTTCCTTCTACATTCCCCTCTATAAGAAGCTGCAGTAGCTGGTATTTCTCATTTCTGTATATGTATCCCAAATATGAGGTTTTCCGTGTTTTCATTATTTTTAAGAGTTCTCTATCGGTACCCATCTTGTGTAGGACCTGCTCGTTGCTCATATGCGCTGTCCAGGGGACTTTCAGCATCCTTCGAAATAACCACATTTCAAAACTTTCCAAACGCCTTAGTGAGTTGATTTTGAAGGTCCAGGCCTCCATTCCATATAGTAAGGTGCTGTAAACGTAACATTTCAGCATTCGGTATCGGATTTTGAGATTGACTGTTTGGGACGTAAACATTTGTTTCATTTTTAAAAACATTTCTTGCTTGTTCAATTCGCGATTTTATTTCTATGTCTGGATCTACATCTTTCGTTATCCAGCATCCTAGATATCGAAATTTCTCGACATTTTCGATAATGTTACCATTCACGTTTAAAGCCATGGGTGGATGGATGGATGTTTTGGAGACAATCATTGTTTTTGTTTTCTTGACGTTAATGCTGAGGCCGTATTGTTCTCCGATCGATCTGACGCGATCTAAGAGTGTCTGGAGATCCTGTGCGCTCTCTGCAATTAGGACCGTGTCGTTGGCGTATCGTACATTATTTAGAACTCTGCCGTTAATTTTAACACCTTCTCTTGATTGCTCTAGTGCTCGTGCAAAGATTTCTTCCGAATCTTTCTTTTTATCAAGATCATTTTCGACTTTTATTCGTTCCTTTAGTTCAATACATGTTGAGCATACATCTGTTTTAGGACTTCCAAAGTCTGCGTTAAAGAATTGGCTAAATACGTTATGAAAATAGATGAACTTGACTTGGGTGGCATCATCAGATTGTTGTTTATACATTTTGTATAACTTTGTAATATTTAGTTCTGCAGGAAGGTACTGTCTTATAGCCGATTCACCTCTGTAATATTGAGATTCATCAGCTTTTAATGTCTTAATAAACGTTGTTACTGCTTCTAATTTATCCTTATAAAGGTCTGTTCTTCTGTCTCCACCTCTTTTTTTTTAAATTACTGTCGACTTGGAAACGGTAAAACATCATTATTAAAACACCATTGAGGTGGTGCTTGGTTATACCTAGCAATCCCAGAAAAGCATCTCGGCACAGTTAGACTTCTTCTGAATTTCGTTTTCGAACAAAATAACAAACTGGTTTTTTCTTCGGTTTTGTTGCATATCTAGGTCGCTGACGTTTTGGTTTATGAATTATACAAAAACGAGAAATGAACTGATCTTGTGTGAGTTTATCTGCAGTTTTATAAAAATCTTCATGGGACTGTTTGACATCCTTCATCGAGGGTGTTGAACATTTCCATTTTGCTGCTGAATGCTTACAGTTTGGAAATGTTGGTAAACCTTTAGGCAAATACCTACAACAAAACAAAAATGACTTAGGTACCGTTAAAAAAAATTAAATCATGTCATTGTATTTTGTCAATCGTGTTTAGATAAAGCTTTCTGAAATACGTTTCGTGTACGTTTTTTGAGTTTTGACTCATTGATACATAATGCAATTTTTGAGGTTAATTTTTGCATTCTCGAAAAATTAATTCGCTTACCATGCACTTTATCGTTATAATATTTACATGTTAACTTTAGCTTTAGATCTTCTCTATTATGCTTTCTGTACTTTCGTCTTCCTTCCAGAACCCATGCTACCCTCACTTAAAAAGGATTTATTCATTTCTAAAATATTGTAACAAAGCACTGTAACGTATTAGGATTAGAAACTAGTAATGACCACGCTGCCGGGAATACCAAAACAGACACGTCCTGCACTACGTAAGTGATTGCAGTCCATTGGTCCAACGTCGATGTCCGATTTTGCAACCAAGACGTTTGGGCTTTGTCCGCTTTTGAAACTACAATCAATATTTGATTGTAATATTTTACGGTAGAAGGCCTGTTTTGCAACGAATTTTCATTGTGGACTGATACAATAGGTTATAATGAACATAATCCTGGTGTTTTCTTTTTCTTTTGACCAAAATGGGACATGCCCGGTTTTCCATCTACAGGCCTTACTTGTACGACGACCAACGATCAATTCTCTTTCAAAACTCAAGTAAGGAAATAAAAGTGGCTGTGGTAAGACACATCTCGCTTTAAGTTTACTTATCTTAACGTGTCTGATTTGAGACACATTACTCTTCTTTTAGTTATACGTACTCTCGCATATTATCTCAGTGCTTACATACATATTTTACATAAATTTCTCATAATAGATGCTTTAGACAACTCTTTACTTGATTAAATTAAAGTTTCTGTTAATATTCAAGTAAAACATCCCGCTTTTAACTCACCCATATCTTCTTATAGAAGTTGTGTCAGAAGACTGTCTCTAATTTGACACTATTGTATAATAATAACCTGTTAATGATAAACAAGAAAAGAATAAAATTGTGTACATAAACATTCTGTTATTCACCTTTATTTAAGCAACTACTTCGTCTTTAACTACAAGCAATATTACCTGTACGTGTGAAAAAAAATATCACAATATTAACAAATTAACTTCGAATATACCTTTTTTCCGTTATTTTACATTCCTAAAAATGATATATATATATATATATATATATATATATATATATATATATATATATATATATATATATATTGGTCACCTAATTTTATATATTTATTAGGCTATAGGGAAATCAACTGGAAAGCCGCAAAGGGAATGATGGCCGATAGCAATTTTTTGCGGAGTCTACAAGAAATGAATGTTGATGCTATCACACAAAGTCAACAAAAGGCAGTCAAAGCTCATATGAAAAATTCCAAAAAATTAGGCGAAATGCAGAATATTAGTAAAGCAGGTTATGGTCTATTGAAATTTGTGCAAGCCGTACTAGGATATTGCGAAGTCTTCAAGGTATTTCTTAGGATTTCGTTAAAGGGCAATGAGATATTATTAATTAAAAAATATCAATTACACTTAATGGTCTATATATATATATATATATATATATATATATATATATATATATATATATATTGTCATATTTTATAGGAAGTTAAACCAAAAATGGATAGGGTAGAACAGCTTCAAGCCGATTATCAAGCAGCTAAGAACTTTTTAGATAAATTAAATAAAGAGATTCAGAAACTAGAGGATAAATTAAACCAACTAAACGAAAGATATGCTGCTGCAATGAAAAGGAGAATCGAACTGCAAGAGGAAACTGATTTAATGATGAAAAGATTAGAGGCAGCCCAAAAATTGATTACTGGATTAAGTTCTGAACAAGAAAGGTAAACTCAAAACAATTAATTGTATAATATATTATGTGTTACATATAGGTTCTAGAACGTTTTGTATAATTATTATAACTTTTTTTATAATTTAAAAATATTATAAGAATTTTTTTTAAACAAAAATATTTATCAAAAATGAAGATTGAAATTGATTCATTTAAATTGCTAACTGATAAGAGAATCGCCCTGCAAGTAATTAATGTCCTAAATAGGTTAACGATTTCAGGTACTAACGTATTACTCTGTGTACGTGTACTATCAGGATACTTTTTAAAAACGGGAGTCTTCGATGAAGGGGATATAAAATATTGCCATTCTTTCTGTCAATTTCGACGTTTAATTTTAAAAACTATTTCCGTATAGTACAAGATTCCGTAAAATCACTACGATAATAACCTGGTTACTGGAACTCTCATTTTTACACACATTTAAAAATAGGAGAGTACATTGGTACCTAGTTATCAGTCAAAAAGTTGCCGCAAATATTTTTAAATAAATTAATCATAAATAATTTTTTAACAAAAATTTCGTTCATGTATTTTTTAAACAAAATACGCTGATCATTACGTATTTTATGCATGTTTTTTTATATCATACCTTTTTTTAATATGATGATAAGGTTTCTTTATACAAAATGGTCACAAATTAGAGTTGCCAGCTATTGAAAACCAGGTATTAAAAATAAAGTGAAAAAGAGCTAGCGCGCAACGACACTGATTTGACATGGGTGGCGAATATCAGATTATTCCGACCAAGTTTTAAAATTAGTTACACTGTTACTACTTTGATAAAAGTCAAGTTTGCATTTGAGAATAACGAAAAAGATTGTATTTTTAATTACATGTTATATTATTAATAACCCTTTATAGCCCTGTATGTACTCAAGGCAACAAAGGAATTTTTGATGCAGAAATTTTTTTTAAAACAATTTTTAACTTTAAGATGCCCTCTGTTGATTTTAGGCAACATTTGGTTATACATTTTAATACACTTAGTGCCATCTATGCACCTATGACGAAACTTATATGGAAAATTTTAACAGTATGTCAAATACGCATGGCTGTTTATTCGTTTATTGCTTATTCGTTTGTATTTTCGATCGTAGTTTATTGTTATAAATTGTGTACAATTTATATAAAAATACATAAAGGCATCATATTAGCATTTAGATATTGATTGCCGTTGAAATTTGTTTATTTTATTGTGTTGTTTCAGTACCATGATAAAAAAACAGGTATGTTGGTATGTTACTTTTAATTCACACTGGATGTCCAATATCAAATCTTCAGAATTCATATCCGAAATTGGACAGTATAATTTTATCACCCAGTAGACCGGATGAATTTATTTGTTATTAAATACACACACGTAGTTAATTAGGTTACATTAGATTTGGTCAATTATCAACAATAAAATTTGGACATCAGTCGAAAGTGCTGACGAAAGTTAAACAATTTACACACAACTTAGATACACATGTCATTAGGTCCGCGAATATATTGACCCAATTAAAACTTATATAAAACTAAAATATCTTGCCTAGAGAAGCATTCAATCAATATTCACTCAACAAACATGATAGTCTTCAACGCTCAACTGCAACAGTCTCTACTCAAAGTAATCCCGGGTCAACACCCATAGTGTACGTCTCGTCAATAAACTCTGCTACTATTATTTTGTGTTTCCATTACAACTGAACGAACATCTTCACCGAGCCAACGAAGGGGATTTGTTCACTGGACCATATCATTTTAAATCATTTGTTAGGATGGATACAAAAACGTTCTACAAGAAAAGCAGTAAATATCCGTTATTGTTTTTAAAAGTTCCCAACAAATCCGAGGAATCCGAAGACTCTAACTTTGAAGAGAGTGATAATGAATTTTCCATAGGTACTCAGATATCAATCGATCCAGCATCAAATGAAATGGAAAATGGAGAAGATTTGTACGAAGCAAATTTAGACCAGGATAACAATTTAGATTTAGACCAAGATGAAGATGAGGTTGATACAGTAGCGGCTTATGTGGTAAAATTTTGGGTATGCCAGGCCAGCAAATTACATCGTAAATTTAGCGCCATATTCTGTGAATCTTTTATTATCGCTCAATTCCAGTTATTAAAAATTTTAATAATCCGAGAAACGTTGCTCTAATTGAGTAATAATATTGTCCAAAATCTTAAAGAAGATCCTTCTAAATTTAGTTTTAGCTTACTCCAAAAAACTTTGATCTCCGTTATTAGATGAACTACCAGGTAAAATATATAGTTCACTACGACTTAAGATGGGTTTAGAATTGATTTCGCTAACAGCAATGTTGAAATGGTTAGAAAATGTAAGGTCATTTCTCCAGCTCTTTAATATTGCAACACTTCTGGCCACTGAATTGGCACACAGTTGAACATCATTATTTTTCATCTGCAAGATGTTGTATAAGAGCTCAGTTTGTTGAAATATATCACTAAAAACATTTATTAAAAATACAAATTCCAAATCCTCCAACTTACGTTTAAAACCATCTGCCTGCTTAATTGATTTTGCATTTGATTCTGGGCAATTCATTATGTTATGTTGCTCAAGACAGTAAACAGTGGAGGCATGTTGTCGAGTCGGCTAAAACCCAAGAAGGGTTGTAACGCCACGGAGTAAAGTGAAGTAAAGTAAAATTCATTATGTCCTGAAAGACTTGCAACAATTTTTTTCTTTACTTTTAGAATACCTTGAAGCGTTGAGAATAATATTTTGACTGTTGTAATGTTAGAGCAACTTTGCTGTAAAACTAAGTTGAGGCGGTAAGCGAAACAATGGGTAAATATTGCTAATGGTGTAGAATCTTTTACTAATTTTTGAAGTCCATTAAGTCGTCCCGACATAACACTAGCTCCATCGTAGGTGTGAGCAATTAATTTAGCTTTACAGTCAAATTTACCAATTACACTAAACAATAAGTCACGTACCGCTGGAGCACTTCGGTCTTCCCCTAGATAAAAAAAACCTAAGAAATATTCGAACAACGCCTTTTGTGTCCACTAATCTGCATAGTATTGAACATTATGCCCTTTCAGTAATATCGGTTGTTTCATCAAGAATGCATGCAAAAAATGTAGAGTTATTTATGGCGTTCTCATACAACACATTTGTGTTGTGTTGTTTAAAAATTTGTTACAATTATAGATTATGTTACATATTTTTTTATCATAATTTAAAAGAAAATTTATATTACAATTCGATAATTACGTTACAAGTGACAACGATGGTCAGCAAAGGCCCGATCGTCTGGTGCCTAAACAGCAATCATAAAGGCGACAATAAAAATCGTTGTTTGGCAAGCTGCTTAACATCAAACGCTTTTTGTACGGGGGTCTTATGTGAACTGGGTCGGCCAGTTCCGATCGGGCCTATTAATGCTATTTTAAAGCTTTAATTTTAAAGCTCTTAAAATTATTGGTTAGGCCCGGCCTATCCTGCCTACCCCCAAAGGCTGCCACTGGGATGATACCGATAAAACAGAAAACACACTGAACAAAATGTGTTCAAAAGGTCAAAAGTGATCTAAAGAAACATTCAGTGGAAGAGTGATCCCCGAATAGTATTTCCAATTTCAGAATGGAAAGTTAATTTACCGACATGCAAATTATTAGAACCGGAATCCCCTCTAAATTATTTTAAAAAGATGATATCTACCAATAAGCTGCAACACATAGTAAAACAAAAGTAATTTGTATGCACTGCAAAAGAATATAAATATACCATTGAATATGACAATAGCAGAATTAAACCAATTTATTGGATCTGTTTTACTGATGTCAATATATGGCTTGCCAAGGACAATATCAGTTTGGCAGAAGGAAACACGTGTTGCTCATATAGTTGACACTATATCTAGGAATCGCTGGAAAGAAACAAAAAATAAAATTCATTTCAATAATAACGAACATAATATGGTCAACAATAATGATAAGTTATACAAAATTTCACCATTCATCAACAGTCTACGTTCAAAATTTTCAGAGTATTCCAATGAGTGAAAAATTGTGTATTGATGAACAAATGATACCATTCAAAGGGGCACATTCTTTAAAACAAAATATGAAGAACAAACCCAAAAAATTGTGATACAAGGCATTTGTTTTGTGTGATAGCAATGGTATTGTTTTTAATCGAGGATTACATACAGGAACTGTTGAACATCCTCTTCATTTACCTAATGTAGGCACCAGCTGTAATGTAGTAATAAGATTGTGTGAGATAGTCGAACCAAACAAATACTATAAAGTATATTTTGACAACTGATTCAATAACATTTAGTTGTAGATTGAAATGCAAACACGTTATTGCAATGTTTGGGAATTGTTCATTCAAACAGATTGCCTAATTGCTATTTAGCTGATGACTATGAAAAAACAGAGCCGAGGTACTGTATAAGAAAAGCACGCTAGAGTAGATGGCATAAAACTAACAGCAAAAGTGGTACGGTAATAAACTGGTTCATTTGCTTAGTACATTTGTTGGTTCTGAGCCTACTTTGTTAATCAAGAGGTGGAATACGAAACAAAAATCAAGAATTGATCTTATGGTTTTACTAATTGGTCTTTACCGAACATACTTAAGATCTAAAAAGTGGTATCTAAAAATATTTTTTCACCTTATCGATTTAGCTGTTTTTAACAGCTGATTGTTGTATCGTCGTGATTGCGATTATTTTGAAATTGAAAAGAAAAACCAGTTGCCTTTGTTACAGTTTAAGTCCCACTTATGTAGCGTACTGTTAGCAAGAACTGACCAGATCAAAAACAAAGGACGTCTTAGGCTCAGTGAAATTAAAAATAAAATTGTAAAAAAAAGAAGAGAGGACCTACTGCTATTGTACCACCAAAGGAAGTTAGGCTTGACCAAACCTCCCACTGGCCAGTATTTTCTGAAAAAAAGGGAAGATGCAAAAACCAAGATGCTGTAATACTCCTAAATTAATGTGCGATAAATGTAAAGTTGCTGAATGTTTTACAACTACAAATAATTGTTTTTTTGATTGGCATCATATTAATTCGTTAGTTTTTGCTGCCCACAGTTGCCTGAGGGCAACACTCCCAAAACTCTCCCCAAACAAAATTTAAAAAATCTAAAAAAAATACTAGTTGTTGTAAATGCATATTTGAGCATATATACAAATTAAAACATTTTCTCTTAAGTTTACAAAAAAAGTCGGACAATAGAGGGTTAACACTATCTTTAAAACCTCACAGAACTGACAATCGCCAGGTCAAACTAATGGCGTTGCGCGTTAGTTCCCTTTCACTCCCATTTTTTCTCAGGCCATCTCTTATTATTATATTAAAAATAACTTTATTTTGATATAAAAAAAGATGCATATACGTTATGTAAAATAAAAATACAAAATTTTTGTTCATAAAATTAATTACCATTAATTTAGTTATAACTGTTTGTAAAAATGTGAGTTTGGTTTGATTAACTACATTACGAACATAGTGTTTTTGCAGTAGCATCCTAGACTAGTAAAAACGTAATTAGAATTTGGGTGTATTCCCCTTAAAATTAGTATTTAACCCTTAATATCCTGAATTATTATATTTATGAAAAATGATATATTTTATGGTAGGTACTTTGTTTTTCGTATGAGTCCTCTAGTCGAGTTTCTGAGATTATTTTCAAAAAAAAAAGTTATAAAAAAGTTATTAGCTGTGACATATATGTCACTCTAGGACATACAGGGAGAAAAACAAGAAAAAATGCGAAAGCTTTATTAAACTATATATTTAAAGAAAAAATATGTTTTACATATGTACAGAGCATTATCTTGTAAGAAACTGCTCATAACAATTAATACACAACCACAAATCACACTTTCTACACATGGTTCTAACAACAGAAGTGCAATTTTAAAATGCGCGTCGTCATCTTTTCTTGTTTGGAATATATATATATATATATATATATATATATATATATATATATATATACATATATATATATATATATAAGAGGTGATCATGTCTGTCAAATATGACGGTGTCGCTGGTTCGACTACCGAGACTGCTTGAAATTGAGGGTTTTGGTCGACCTGCACCTTTAGCTTCTGTACCATACTGCATTAGATATGAAGTGGCTATATTTTTGCGAAAATCGATTTGTTTTATAGAATTGCCGGTCTTTATATAAACATGCCAAGCCTTTTCCAATAATACCTCTAGAAACCATGTAAATAATGGCCACCACCGTTTTTTGGATCTAATATTAATCCTGTACCTTCCTATATTTTGATCCATCAAGTCCGTCCCTCCCGTCGATGGGTTATATTTTCCTATGAGACATTACGAGGTACTTGAATAATTTTCTTCTCTTTTAATTGTCGGACCAACGTACAAAAATTATACCTTTGTTACCTTCAATAACGCCACTACAATCATCCCGATCTGTCTGTTTTTGAAAATCAGTCACTGGTAAACACTGGTAACACTGGTAAACAAGTTGTCGACAAAGAGTTTATATGGTAGGTTCCTCTTATTGGTGGGTAACTCACGCAACATGTTTAGCAGTGGAGCAGTAGCTTAAAATTCTCTGTTGGTAAATCCCCAAATGGCAATAATCGTTGTTCTTTAAATCACCGAGAATATCGTAATATTTATTATATTATAAACATGTGTGATGACACAGCGACCACGAAATTGATACCTGATACATGATATCTGATCAATGAACATCGTTATATCTTATAGTGGCTTCCCACGATCGGCAATTCTACAGATCATCGCGGACAGCCGATCAGCACGGATGGCAACGCACCGCAGACAGAGCTTTTCCTACGGTCCGTGACAGTCTGTGTAGGTCCGTGACAGTAGTGTTTGATTATATCATAAAAAGGCCACTCAGGCTTGTAAACATCATCAGACCCACTATCAGTTCCCATCTATTCTCTAACTTTTGTTTTTTGCCTTCTGTATGTCGACATTAAATTATCTCTCTTCTTTTTTAATTCTTTAATCGAAATAGTAATATTCTTCAATTGATTTTTTTATTCGGTTCCATGCATCGTATGCATCGTTCCGGTTCTTATGTTCTGGCGCCGTGGAATTCCATAAACTTCGTTCAACTTGATACAAATTTAAAAAATTAAAAACAACTTCGTTTGTCCGTTCCATTTTTCAGCAAAAAACTGCAGAACAACTTTGACAACACTACAGACAACTACTCGTGTCAGCGAATGAAAAACTTATGACTTGCGTCGTCTTATGTCGTCTGTTAAAACACAGACGCGCTAGGATCGCGTCGCACGAGCATGTACCGCACCTTTGATGTTACCGACTCTAGATGGATAGGACGCACCAGCACGGACCAGCACGGACGAGACCCTTCCCACGGTGCGTGGTGCGTGCTGGTCCGCTTACGTCCGCAATATCGCCGACCGTGGGAAGCCGTTATTAGTAAATAATTCGCTGGGAATGAAATCACGTCTTATGTTTATTTTTGCTGAAATACGGTAGAACATTATCCTAGCGTTGCATAAGTATATTATGTAATACTGAACTTTGCGGCTACACAGAACTAAGTGGTAGTGAAATATTTAAATAAAATTTAAAAGATGTAGGCTATGTACCTTTATGTAAAGCTTAACTTACTTTTTGAGCTAAAAAATTGCAAGATAAAAAAATAAATGTGCTTACTCTAGATTAATGTCCATTTTTTCTAAACATTTATCGACAGCTTATTTTAAACTAGCTAACATGCATTAGGGAAAGTGTCAAATTGCACAATACTTACACCATCTATGCGATTCTATCACAAGTTTTCTTACAGGGCGCTGTTTAAATTACACAATATTGCGTAACTTATATGTTACGCCAGGATATTAAGGGTTAAAACGTTATTTTGGAAAACAGGAGCTTTTACAGATATTTGCTCTATTTGAAACGTATTTATAGAAAATGAAATTATTTTAAATGCAAGCCATTTAAATTTGATGTTTGCTCTTCTAATTAATTCCGTAGTCCATTTATCTCATAGTGTCCTATTATACCATTTTATTGCTAAGTCTTTTGAAAAATTTATGCATATACGCGCGTAAGCATTTTTGTTACAATAATCTGTCTACATTGATATTAATTACTATTTAATTGTAATTGTAAAACACGGAAATTTCTTTTAGGTGGAAACTTGAACTTCAAGAGCTTTTCTCTGCAAAAGACCGCCTAATAGGTGACTGCCTCGTGTGTTCTGCATTTTTGGCATATTGCGGACCTTTTACTTTCGAATACAGGAAAACTATGATGTATGATGATTGGAAAAAGGATATTTTAAACAGAAAAATACCATTGACACAGCCTTACAGGTAAATCGGGCCCATAGGTGCCAAAAGCTACAAAAGCGCAAACAATAATTAAGTATTTTTTACATTTGAATAAATCAAGATAGTCAAACAAAACATTTGTTTATAGACATACATACTACGTATATATTAAACCACAATATTTATTTAAAAAACTTTAAATTTATGACGTGATTTGATTTATCGTTCTTATATACGATCAATATATTGCCGTCCTAAGCAAAAGGCAGTACTTATCTCCACAAATGTAAGTTTCGAGATAATGCAGATTTTAATAAACAGGGCTGAGGCACCATGTATTTATTTATGGATTCCGGAATTGTTTAACTGTGTTATAGTTCTTTTTGATATCATTGAATAAGTTTTTTTTTTTGTAAGCTATTTTTATAAATTTTAATGAAAATGGCGGATACTGCTTTTAAGCAAGGTATATTATTACAACCGTTAAGAATGAATTACATAAAACAGCAGTAACTCCAATTAGTTTGAGGTTACTGCTTTTTAGTGTAATATTTCTTCAACAGAAAGCACGGTGACAACAAAAATCATTTCGTTTTATTAACTTTATTAGTTAAAAAATTTTTTAAAACATCAATAAACTTAACTCTACATTTTGTTGAAAAACAAATAATTAGTGAAAACAGATTATTAATTATTAAAAAAACACAAAATCCACTTATTAAACATCATCAAACTCCGATCTTAAATGTGCGGCTGCATCATTGACGGGAAGGCTCTGCCAAAATTGTCTTCGATTTTCAGGAATTAATGTAACCAAATTTTGCAAAATCGCTAGCTTCTTTTCTTCTGTAATTCCTCTTGGTTTTAAAATGCTGACAGGTTCTGTGAAGCCAGACTTGGCTACTTTAAGTTTTAAAAAATTTAATTCTTTTGTTTCGTTGGAAACAAAACTTGTTTTATAAAATAAATTAAAGATACCTCGCTTAGCAACAACCATGTCTTTCAAGTAGGGTCGTGGTGTTGTATGGTTTATTTTGTAAACTGATGAGTTGTCAGGCCAAACAAAGAAATCCTTAAGCTTCGTTTCTTTGGTCTGAAACTTTCCAGAATTAGCTGGCTGAACGCAAAACACAAAATCAGCAAAGTTCATAAACCTTTTTCATTCGCTGCAAAGACTGCTCCACCTGATGGTGAAAACTGTCAGCTGACATAAAGGAATGACCTGGTTTAAAATATCTAAAGGTAATTGTCTGTGCTGCAATTATATTAGAATTGATAATGTATGTTAAGTATGAGAACAGTGATCAATTCTTATTTTTGCCCGCACAGTTGTCAAGCCAATTGATTATATTATGTTCTACATCACGTATGAGCAACATAAATGCATGAAATGTACTTATCAAGTCTTCCTTTTTCCTTCCTGATATGCATTCATGCCAGAGTTATGCAAAGGATTTGATTTTCTGTTTTTTTTTTCTTCTACGAAGGTTTCGTTGAAAACTATAATTCTTTGGGAAAACACTTTTTTGAACTTTTTTGAACATATCGATCCCAGGCAACATAATCACCTTCTTCAAGTCAGCTAAAATACAAACTTTGCTTGATGGATAATCATACTCTGCATCAGCACTGTACTTTTCACGTGCTTTCTTAGATTTTTTGATGTGTTCTTTCCAAAAGTTACAGTTCTACAATTCTCCGATAATGACTATTCGGTATGTTCAGGATTTTAAAGCTTAAAACCCTAACACAATTCACACTCCTCATGGCCCAACTATGCGAAGGAAATATTTAAATCCTTAGACATACATTTTCTATATAGTACAATATGAACACTTTATATATGGATGAACTGTCATAAAATCTCTATGCATACTTCGAATGGTGATATCACTCGGAAGATATCTCTTGAGAAGAGCATGCTATATATATATATATATATATATATATATATTATATATATATATATATATATATAATATATATATATATATATATATATAACTTAAGTGAGATTTTTCTTTAAATGTTGTTTTAAGGCCTTAGCCTTTCCTTAAAAAAAATAAAGTGTCACATTTTCTTTTATTACAGAAATTTTATTTTTTATTTAAAGTTTATGTTTAAACTTTGACATGATTTATCACAAAAACTCTACTTTGTGGCTTAGTCACCTTTGCCCCTAAGCCACTCATATAAGGTCATAAAAGAGTATTTCGTCATATTTGTAACACTGTGGTCAGTTGATTGAATAATATTATTTATTATTATTTAGAACTGAAGATCATTTGAAAACAGATGTTGAGGTCAGCACCTGGATTTCTGAAAATTTACCGCCTGATGAATTGTCTATCCAAAACGGTATATTAACCTTACGGGGTTCTAGATTTCCACTTTGCATCGACCCTCAACAGCAAGCCTTAAATTGGATTAAAAAGAGAGAGGAAAAATTTAACTTAAAGGTGAGGTAGCCACTTAAAACATATTATGACATTAATATATTGAATATGGTGCAAACCAATAATCAAAAAATGATTGTCCGAATTTCTAGATTTCAGTACGCATAGCGTTGATAAAACTTTTGAAAGAATAAGATATAACACAACAGATAAACTGACTGTTTCACGACGAGTTTATGCTTTTTATATATCAAAAATTTAGTTTACAGGGGTTACAAGTTTTGACAAATTTAAAGAAAATATTTTGACAGACATGGCACTTCCGGTTATATTGAAAGTTAAAAACTTTACAAGTTTAATTTAAGAATCTTTTATAAATGGTATATAATTAAAAGTACCGTCGAACGGGGTACAACCGACCAAAATTTGAGAATTTTTTTCATGTTTTCATGATTATTTTCGAATTGAGAAAGCTGAAAATTATATATGTTAAAGTATCATATCTGAAGTGCCAATTAGTGGTTTTTCTTTTGAAATCATCCTAATAGTTTTTTCTCATATATTTTAAAAGGTAATCGGTTTCACCCCATAGGTTGGGTTAAAACCAATCGGGTGTTGAATTGCATTTATGTTGCTTTTAAGCAAGTTTTGGGGTAAAACCGATCACACAAAAAAATTTTTAAACTATTTTTTATGCAATAAATTGTAAAAATCAACACAAGATTTGTTTACTAAAGAAATTTATTTCAAAAATAAATACAAATTTGTGTTTAAAACATTGATAAAACTTAAAACATAAAAGAAAACACTTATTTCTAAAAAACAAAAGGAAGACGTTGATTCTTTGGTGGTACATTGGTAATTTGGTACTTTCTAACTTATTCTAACGTAAGGTCAGGGGGAAATCCCCCTGAAAGTAAATGTTCCTCTTCTGAGAGAAATTGCTCGTATTTTTTTTATAATCTGTTCTTTCTGAACTATGGCGATATCCTCGATTTCTGGATAAGCAAAAACTGAGGTGTGTACTTTAAAATTTTCTCGTCATTTTCCAACTCTGAAAAACTTAGATCGTGTACTTCTTACCCCTGGCTCATTTTCAGAACCTTCACTTTCTTGTACAACGTCTTTCTTAGAAATACTTTTTCCTGCTGCCTACCTTCATCCTTTTACCTCTCTTTGGATTTTCACTTGAACCTATTCTTAGTTCTCTCAAATGATCGACAATGGTATTCATCTCTATTTGCTCGACTATAGTCTTTTCCTGTTCGGTATTTTCGTTTTCTTCGTTTTTCAAATGTTGAATTATTTTGAGCACTTGAACTGGATTTAAAGGCACTATGCCACAAGCTTTAAAGCCTACTTGAGTGTTTGCGGTTGATTTCAGACCCACTTTTCTATTGTTTTTTTTTTTAACAGTCTTGGAAAAACAGTTTTGGGCAGGACACCCCTGTTTTTGATTTTCCAAATTGTGAGAACTTTCCTTCAAGCATTTTTTAAAGGTCGAAAATATAGACAACGTCAAGTGGTTGTAATAAATCTATGAAGTTTGAAGGTAAAAGTATAAACTTTATACCATTATTTTCACATTGCTCGATAACATTGACGGTAGGATAACTGAATAAATTATAACCTATCATTACTTTAGAGCCTTCTAAGTTTCTGAAGTAAGGCAATGCTATCGATACAAACTAGTCTTCAAAAGTTGCGCTGGCAAACCAACCATTGATCGTTCTATTATAGTGTGCACCAGGAAAGCCTTCATCGGCCCATCCTTCATACATATGCTTTGCCTTGTACACTATATAAAAGGTGGCAACAGTGTTCCATCACCACCAACTGAAAACATAACGCTAGTGCTCGTTTTCGACGTCTCCATCACTCGATGAGCATGTTTTGATCTTTTTCTGGCCACGACCTTTACAGCTGCTGGATCGTCCTTGAAGTTGATTTCGCCATAGTTTATCACATTTGATGGTTCGACCCTTTTCAGAGACTCTCCAAGATGACGAAAATACTCTTCAACTGTTTCATAAGTGACTGCAGCCCTTACCCGTTTTGTATTCTCTGCCAATTTTACGGTAAGATCCTTATGTCGGTCCATAAATTTGAAGAACTAATCTGGTCCTGGTAAATTGTCTCTGAATCTTTTTTCTCTTCTTCCTGTTCTATTAAGAAACTGATGAACCATATATCGAATGTCAATACTGTATAGAGGATATCCCCAGTCCGCGCACACTAGTAGACAGTCAACCAGCTTTTTTCTTGCAGTTCAGACTCCAGAACTGGTGGCCTCTAATCTTGAGCTGTTGCCTCTTTTTTCGAATTTTTTTTTTGTAAGTTGGTATAAGGTACTCCATAATTTCTCAGAGGCCTTTCTTATAGACATACTCCCACTAGCAACAGCTTTCAATGCTCGCTTCATATAAATTTCATTGTACTGTAATTTTCTTGTTGGCTCTAACTTCTTATAGATGCGAGGCATTGTCTGTAAACAAAAAAAAAATATGTTAAAATCTTACATCAATTTAAAGAGGAGCTAGGTGATCACCAAACCACCGCCTCACTCTGTGCTGTCCATAACGTTCATATCCATAAGAATTAGGTAGGTACCATCTATAAAATAACTAGGGAATTGTTGGTCGGTTTTACCCCCACAAATTGCAGATTTTACAGAAAAAAATGTATCAAAATTAACCCAAAAAGAAAAATCGCATAATTGGCCATGACTAGTACTCTTTAAGAATTCCAAAACGAAATAACACTTACCAGAAATGTTCTATAGTAATCACTTTTTCTGTAAACGGAAATCTTTTCAAGTTTTGTAAAAAACACCCGCATACGACGTTTTGTTTACTAGTCTACGCTGCAGCCACGCGACACTTTCAACCTATTTCCTGAAAATTCTGAAAATATTAGACAAAAAACCCTTAGCGATCGGTTTAACCACATGTGATTAGTTTTATCCCGTTCGACGGTACTCTTTCGGGCTACATCACAATAGAACGTTTTTAGACTAAAATATCCATCATCAGTGCATTTACCAGGTGCACATGAGTCAAAACACTAAATATTTAGACAGAAGCCTTTAAAATGTTGCAACAGTTATTGCTTATTATATTTTTGTTAATTTGGTGTCAGAGACATCGTCTCAGGGTCAGCAACCTCCAAAATCGGGATACGTTGCCATGCAGGTTATCTACTAAAAACTTTAACTACACGCCAAACTATTAACAAAAGTGTAATAAAAAGTAAAATTTGTACCATTCTAAGTATTTTTAGCCAAATATTAATGCAGTTAAGACTGCAGTACCTTCGATGAGTACATATAAATGAAAATAGGATTCGAACTGACGAGTCCTCAGTTTTTGCACTCAGTAAGTTGACACTCTGCTCCATTAAGTCAGTTTCAAAGTGTAGTTAATGTAGTCAAAAAAGTTTAATTAAAAATAGCACCACATTTTTTATACCAAGTGTCTGTAATATTTGACAGACATACAATACAATACTTATGTAGAAAAAAAACCAAGGACACATTTATTCTTATCGCAGAGGATATTTGTTCTCGTTCTATAACCTGCTAAAAGTAAATCAAAATCCTCTCTTATCATGTTAGACTAAAATTCTGACAATCATTTGGAAGTTATACTGCGTTCAATAATTTCAAGAACAAATTACATTATTTTTAAGATACTAAGCTTCAATGACTCTGACTTTGTAAAACATCTGGATATAGCTATAAAATACGGTTCCCCAATTTTGTTTCAAGATGTCGATGACTATATAGATCCAATGGCCCAAAATGTAATTTTAAAAAATATTAAAGTGCAGTCTGGAAGAGCTTTTGTTATGTTGGGAGATAAAGAAGTTGATTGGGATCCAAACTTTAGATTATATATGACTACAAAATTCGCTAATCCAGTTTTTAACCCCTCAGTATTTGCTGTTGCTGTGGTTATTAATTATACAGTCACTCTGTCAGGTATGAATACCTTCATTTATATTTTAATTTAGAAAAATCAATTTGGAATTTTCACGAATCTAAATATTAAATATAGATTTTAAATCTTATACATAATACATAATACATTTTATTTTGGATTATTTTGTGTTTTTTATATTTTAGTGTTTTTTTTTATTTTTATTTTGTTTAATTTCTTTATATATTTTTATAGATTAATTTGTGGTAAACATATTTTTCAAACCCTATTAACAGACTATGCCTATGCACTATTTACAACTTGTATTTAAATAGGTATGTTAATTGCCTGTAAATGCAATGAAGAATTTCCATATTATTTGAAAATATTTAAGGATTAAGGTTTATTGGAAAACTTTTTATAAAGTTCGTTGTTTATATATTAATTTGTAAATCACATTCTGGTATAATACTGGTTAGATCGTCTATTTTGCCACAAGTACAATTGAGGGTATTTGACAAGCCGATTGCATTCATATAAGATGGCATAAGAGCAAGAGCCGATTGACTCTTAGTGAACACTTAGTTTATTAGTCTTTATTTTATTTATATATTTTATATTCTTACAATAATTTATTTAACACTATTTACACTTATTTATATAATTTATTTTACAAATAAAAATCCTTTATATATATATATATATATATATATATATATATATAATATATATATATATATATATATATATAAATATATATATATATATATAAATATATAAATATATATATATATATATATATATATATATATATATACATATATATTATTGAAAAATATAGAAAGCACAGAAAAGCGAATATTAGACAGTCGTGGGCAGACATGAAGACGACTATGTAAGGGAGGCTGCACCATATTGGTAGAATACGCTGATAATGATGATGATGATGATATATATATATATATATATATATATATATTATATATATATATATATATATATAATATATATATTTCTTGGGATATATTTGCAGAGCTGTTGCAAGTTGTTTTCGACACTAATTTCTTGGTCTTCGATGACAAATTTTACCTTCAAACATTTGGTACACCTATGGGTTCCTCAATCTCTTTCATCCTAGTTAACTTTGTATTGGATGATTTGGTTTCTGACCGTTTAGGTCTTTTGGATTTTCAAATCCCTTTTATTAAGAGGTATGTGGATGATTTATTATTAGCCCTACCACCTGACAAGGTTCAGGGTACCTTATCCTTCTTTAATGAGTTTGATTCTCATTTACAGTTCACTGTTGAACTTGAGGACACTACCACCAATACTATACCCTTCTTAGACATGCATGTCATTAGAATGGGAGACAACACCCTAACCACAAGTTGGTATAGAAAACCAATGGCCTCTAATAGGTTCCTTAATTACCATTCCTGTCATCCCATGAAATATAAATTAAACCTTATAAAAGCTTTGAGCTGCAGATTAAATAAATTGATATCCTTCCTCTATCATTAATAAATACCTTTATTCACACAGCTATGGATCCTCAATTCATGACATACCCGATGGTGACCAACTTAGAAACATCTCAAATAATTCAATAAATAGCATTCTTCTGCAGAATACTGATCTTGAGAATTCTACCACCCATTATTCTTTTTTACCTTATTTCCCTCAAGTTACTGAGAAGCTTATTAAATTGTATAAACAGAATAACATACCGGTTAAAATTGCTGTTAAGAATACTAAAACTGTTAGAAATTTGTTCTCTAAAACTAAAACACCCTTGTTCACTTTGGAACAAGTTAACACAATTTATCAAATTCCATGCGCTAATTGCGATTTATGTTACATTGGTCAGACTGGTAGATCATTAAAAGGTCGTCTCACTTCACATCGTAGTGACATTAATTTATCAAAACACACTTGTGCCCTGGCACAACACGCGATAAATACCAAACATGAAGTGGATTTCAATGAAGTTAAGATCCTTGCCACTGAACGCAATCTAGCTAAAAGACAGTTTTTGGAAATGTGTTCAATACTAAAACATCCTAATGCTTTAAATAAGAGAACTGCCATAAGTAACTTGAGCCAAATATATTATGCTTTATTTTGCAGAATTAGGCTTCATGATCTTTTCACTATATTAAATGTCATATTAGGTGTACTACTTGAACCTTTTTTTCCATTTTTCATGAAATAATTTAAATACATAAAATAGAAATAAAATACATAAAATAATTAAATATTCTTTACTTAACTTATTATTACATATGCAACTTACATTGCATTTTCATACACTGATTACTTAGATTAGTGTGAACATTTTATACTTAAATAAAATAATACAAATAATGTAATTGATTCATAGAATCCTTTGCAAATTACAGTTCCAAGTGCATGAACCTTGGGCTGTTGGAAGTTAATTTATCGTTAACCACCTGTGGCTGATTATCTAGTCATAATGATTAACGTTATTACTTATATATGAGGTTGAATGAAAATCTCCTGTTTGTAAATCTAGACTGATTAATGAGAGGAGTTGCTATTACAATACCAATTTCTTTCACTGGTTTGTCTTTTGCAACCGGCTAGTCACCCAAACTCATTAAAACTTTTAAATTGACCGCCCAATTATTTGGGTTGGTACCTCCACCTTGCTGATCTGTCAAAAGTATTTTGACCTCAAGGTTGGCTGTCTTTTCGCGGTTTAGTTCGTTCCGGTTCATCTAACGCCATTTTTCCGGCGACAGCTGTAGGACTTTGATCGGTAACTTAATTTACACTACTTTTTTAATTTTTATTAATATCACTTATAATGCGACCTAAAGTTAAAATCAAAGCTTAATAATCATAAAATAGTTGGAAGTTGTCTATGATTTTCTTGGTTCTTTCTCATTAATTAATATTAAATAACATTTCATTTACTTTAGACCACATGGTGATTTGCTGTGCTAATTTTTATAAGTTCATATATGCTGCTAGTTACTTGATTGTTTATACAAGATCAGCGTATTATGTCCATTTACTTAAGTTTCATTCACATTATTGTTAATAACTTTGACTGCTACATATCTTTTTAAGGTAACAATTAACATCGTTTCCATGATTGTGTGGTTCTCATATTGTACTTTTTAGATGAACTGATGATGCTTTCAAAAATCGAAAGCGAAACGTCTTCAAAATAGATAAAGTAGCCTATCAACTTTGTCTTTTATTTCTCCACCTAGAGACCGATATAAGAACCCACCACTCGTCTGAGTGATCCTTCGGAGTGATCCGCTGGTATCGGCAACTGGACCCTCTTTTACAACTTCCAGTTGTATAAAAATGTCAAGGGGCGGTTTTCTCTCTGCACCAGGAACTATGCGGATTGCAACAGACTAACACCTGGACTTCGGTGTCTTTAACGATCTACTCCACCATACTTCGGATAACCCTCCAATCCAATTGGCGGCACTTCAACTTTGGCATGGCTAACTTTTACACGTCAGACTCTAGTACGTGCTCTTTCAATTGAGTAGGGTTTCTTATACATCTCGGTAGGTAGATTAGTCACAGGCAGTGTCTTTTGTTACCAGGTAAAAAAGGTAACGTGATTCATCTCGGAGTTTAAAGGCTTTCCCGGGAGCTGACACTTACTGCAACTCGACCGAACTTCCTTTGAAAGACGGATGCCAACCTTGGTGCGTCTGTGATACTGGTCGGGATGAAAAGGGCCAGCGAGAAGTCATCGGAAAGCGTGAGTAGATGCTTTTCTTCAGTGGTAACATCATGTCTTGCTTTACCGGTACCTCCATAGGCCCCCATAAATTCCTCAAACGTAAGGTCAGGCACATCTGGGACTCAATTGACTTCCACTTTTTCATCTTTGCTGTGGTCCCCTTTTAAAGACGCCAGCCGGCTATAGTGTACTATAATGCCTTTCCCCTTGGAATCTTGCTTAGTTGGTAGATGACATCGTTGGTCTTCCCCATAATGAGGTATAGACATTCCCAAAACTGCTGAAACTTGGGAAAACAACCTTTTCGCTTCTTGGGAATATAGAGCCAGACTTTGTCGTTCTTCTTAAAGCACCCATTTTTGGTTTGCGTATCGTACCGTTTCTTCATTCGGTCGCTAGTGATCTGGATATAGGAACCGACCAACTCGTGTACATAGTCCATTCTTCTTCGTAATTCGGTCACATAATCTTTACCTGCATCTTCTCCAGGTCAACATCCAAACTCTAGATCACAAGGTAGTCGCATCTCGCATCCGCCTGTTGATTCGTTAACAGCAGATCTGTAGGCCATTGTGAAAAACGTCCCAATTTTCTGAAAAATATTGGTCCCAGTCTCGCTGATGATCAGACACCACCTCTAAAGGCCAAATGCCCTACTGAGCCCAATACGTCTTAACTACTGAGCATAGTTTTGATATTTCTTGCCAATATGGTCGACGGGTTTTCTCTTTCTATTTTCAAATTTTCTGTACAATTGGATATCTCTTTTGTTCTTCCCTCATCTTAGTAAGCATCCAGTCGTCATTGACCATCGTTGTTCTTAGCACTGCTGCTTTCTTGGATTCCGTTTTGTTGCAATGAAAACACTCTGCTGGGAATGGCCTCCTGGAAAGAGAATCAGCGTTTCTGTGGCTAACTACGGCCCGGTGCTCAATCTTAAAATCGTATTCTTAGAGTCGTTCGATCAATCTGGCTATCTGACCCCCTGGATTCTTAAACAGCATTAAACACTTAAGGGCATTATGGTCGGTTTGAATTAAAAACTTTCTTTCGTAGTTCTGTTTTTGTGACGCAATAATTCCGCTCATGTTTTAAAAGAACTTTACTAAAATATCCAAGGACTCGTTCCTGTCCTTGTTGAAGGTGAAATAGTACTCCTCCAATTATTTCATTACTTGAATCTGTATCTAAGACGAACTCTACTTCTGGCAGTGGATACCCTAAAATTGGTGCAGTGTTTAAATGCTTTTTCAACGTCTCAAAGGCATTTTGGCTGTCTGTATTTCAGCGGTAATCTCTTGCTTCCTCTGTAAGTCGCATTAATGG